CTGGTTCCGAAGGATAGAGGCCGGTAATCAGTCCCGAAATCTCTCTCTACGGACTACACGACTGATAATGAAAGAAAAGAGATAAATGAGAAATGGCCATACCTGGTTCCGAAGGATAGAGGGCGGTAATCAGTCCCGATATCTCTAAGGAACCAGTCATCGGATGGAATGACAAACAACTATATAAATGAAATAAGCTTAAGTCTAAGTATTAATATTTAGATGTATGTAATGTGATTGTGTAATGACCACAGGTCTTACAGTCTCCCCTCCTTTAAAAGAATTCGAGCCGCCTGGACTAAAAAAGAAAATTATAACATAAAAAAGAACCAATAGAAATATTTTTAACAGAACAGTTGAACTAATTGAAGATGAGTTGAATATAACCAGTATAATAATTTGAAATATAGCACAAAAAAAGAAAAAGAGAAAAGAAAGAAAGAAAGAAAAAAAAGAAATAATTTGAAAGAAACGAGAAAAAAGGGAAAAGAAAAAAACTTGATGTGAAGTTGGAGGTCGGGTCTTGGTATCGCCTTGAGTATGCGCGCTAATTCATCGTCTAACCTGGTGGAGCAAGCGTCGAAAAGGTTGTGCTCACAGAGTGGCCTAGGTGTTGTTTTTTTTGATGATTTTTTGCGTAGTATACTACGGCGGTGCATACAAGGGAGAGGAACTTACTTCCGTACCCTTTCTGTCAACGTATTGACCCCGTCCTCCTTCCTTTCTACATAAGCCTTCACTTTTGAAACATGGAACACATTGTGTCTCTTGTCTCCGCTTGATAGTTCGAGTTCCACATTTTGTCCGTGATTTGATGACTTGATGACTCGGTATGGACCCTCGAAACGCTCTTTGAGTTTATTAACGCCTCCCTGATGACGGCCTCTCCAATCTCCCGAGTCTAACAGCGCCCACGAGTTTGGCAGTAGTGGCTCAGCGGTGCGACAGTTCTTGTTGTGTTGTAAAGCCTGTTGGACCCTGCTCGCCCAGAGCGCGTCTCGAGCCGCGAGCCACGTGTCTTGTCGATTGTCGAACCATTTGGTTAGCGCAGCTGGGTCGGAATCGTCAGGTTGTCGAGTCGATAGTACGCGTTGTTCTTTGCCGAAGATGAGTTCAAAAGGGGACTTCCCGGTAGCTACGTTGACTGCTCCATTGATCGCATATTCTACAGCTCCTAACGATTCTAGCCATTTTCCTTGTCGCTTAGCAGCAAAGGTTCGTAGTATCTGTCCAACAGTTCGGTTCGTCCGTTCACTCCTCCCATCTGCTTGAGGGTGGAACGCCGTTGTCATATGGAACGCAGTACCACACCGTGACATCAAGGCTTTCCAGAAATTGGACGTCCAAGATTTGTCGCGATCGCTAATGATTGATACTGGCGATCCGAAAGTGCCGATCCAATTAGAGAAAAACCTCGAAGCCGTTTTCTCCGCCGTGTCTGATTGTCCACATGGAATGAGCTTTGTGAATCCAGACAATCGGCAGGTGCAAGTTAATAACATATCATAGTTATTGGCCTTGGGCAATGGTCCCACGAAATCAATTGCTAGACATTCAAGTGGAAGATTGGGTATTGAAGGCGTCAACATTTTTCCCACTGGAGCTTGTGTCGGTCCTTTTGTCCGTTGGCATACATCACAGGACTGTACAAACTCCTTCACGTCTGATGCCATGCGTGGCCAGAAAAAATCACGCCGAAGATCCGCGATGGTCTTGAGGTAACCTAAATGCCCTAATCGTAAGTGGGTCTCATTTACCAGATCATGTCTTAGATCTTTGGTATAAGGAATGTATAGCCTGTTCTCAATGAACAGTAGTCCTTCCACAATCGTACAGTCGTCGCGTAAAGGAAGGACTGAAAGGATTGAGCTATAGAAGGAGTCGGTATGATACCCATCTTGAATACGTTTTCGTACTTGCGGTGATAACGTCGGGCCGGCTTCAATCAGTGCTGCTACGCATTCTATGCCATCTTGCTCCACCTCGTCTTCTTCATTGTCTTTCCTTGACAGCGCATCCGCCACACAATTGTCTTCACCTTTCACATACTTAAACTCTACATCAAAATCAGCTATTGTTTCAATCCACCTCGCTTGTCTTCTACTCAAGGTTCGTTGTTTCAGGAGGTACGTCAAGGAGTGATGGTCGCTCATTATGTTAATCTTCATACCTAACAGCAGCATTCTCCACTTGTGCAGCGCATGTATGACTGCCAATAATTCTTGCTCATGTACCGGATAATTTCGTTCCGCTGGCGTCATTTGTTGTGATTCATATGCGATAGGTGATGCACGTTTCCATTCTTTTCCTTGAAATAACGCCGCCCCGAGGCCATGTCCGCTTGCGTCAGTGAATAACCAAAGAGGGTCGTCGGAATCAAAATCTATATTTTTTAAATAAGGTAATGAAGTCATAAGGCGTTTGATATTAGTGAATGCATTATCTTCAGCTTGTCCCCATTTAAAACTGGCCGGGTCAAGTTTTGTGCTCGTTAACGGTGTTAGTTTGTTGACATGTTTTTCTAGCCCCCAGATGAATTTTTTCATCCACTGGACTGTACCCAGGAATTTCTTGATCCCTTTTGCTGACTTCGGTGTTTTCCAATTCAACACTTGTTCTATTTTTTCATTATCTGCTCTAATACCGTTGGCTGAAATCCAATGTCCTAAAAACTTAATCTCATCTTTAAACAACTTCGTTTTCTTCTTACTGCAATAAAGATTTGCTTCTCGTAACTTCTGAAGCACCATGCGTGTGTGCACCGCATGT